GCCAGGACTTCTCAAATATGATGGATAGTGGCTTTGCAACTTCATCTGCCAGTTCCCTCAGGACCCGCCGATGCGTCCCATTGGGTCCCATGGACTTGTGCACCTTCAGGTTTCTTAGGTGCTCCCAAACCTGATCTTCTCCTACAGTGGGTGGCTTTTCATTCTCCTGGACCCTTCCTTTGCTTTCTAAGACTTGGGCAGTGTGGCAAAAGCCCTTATTGGTGAAGACTCAGGCAAAAAAGTCATTGACCACCTCAGCCTTCTCAATGTCCCTGGTGACCAGATCTCCCGTTGCCTTCCGGAGAGGGCCCACATTTTCCCTAGTTTTCCTTTTCTCCCCAACATACCTGTAGAAGCTTTTTTTGTTGCCCTTGATATCTCTGGCCAAATTTAATTCTGTCAGGGCCTTGGCTTTCCTAACCTGATCCCTGGCTTCTCAGGTAATTTCTCTATATTCCTCCCAGGTTACTCATCCTTCCTTCCACCCTCTATAGGCTTCTTTCTTGATCCTAAGTTTGCTCAGGATCTTCCTGTCCATCCATGCAGGCCTCCTGCTGTTTTTGCCTGCCTTCCTCTTTGTTGGGATGCATCGTTCCTGAGCTTGGAGGAAGAGATCTTTGAGTATGTTCCAACTATCCTGCACCCCTCTTCCTTCCAGGAATTCGTCCCATGGTACGTGACCAAGGAGATCCCTGAAGAGGTCAAAGTCTGCTCTCCTGAAATCCAGGGTGGTGTTATTAAGTTTCTTTGCCAGAAATTATTTTCTAGCTGTGGGAAAAGTAATAATGTAAAAAAATAATATGTCTACACTTGCTCTTTCAGAAGTGAGACGTAACACTTCCATAGTAGTTACTTCGAAAGGGCTGTGAAAAAGTAATTAATGAATTTCGAGCACTTCACCCTTTGGGCCCAATTAAATTTTAGTGCTAGTTAATTAGAACTTAAACTTATTTTTTATAATTCATCTAGAAAATGCCTTAAATAAAAGAAAACTACATCTCAAGATTACAATTACTTCCAGCACACAAAAATAAATAATAATTATTATTAATAATAATAATAATCAGAGAGAGAAAAGGAGGCAGATAAAGCCTCATTCAGACAATTATCTTAAAGCACATTTTTAAAGGAGGGTGAAAAATAATTGCTTGTTATGCTAAACCTACATTTATCTAATGAACCATGCAGATTCCTGTAGTTTCTCAGTGGTAAAAGGATTTAGTATTACTCTGCTTCATTAAAAATTAATGAAGGGTAAATCAGCTGCTACTTAGTGTAATAGAAAATCATGCTAAATACTGTTTGTAAACTACACTGCACTCAGTATGGCTGCTTTGATGCAGTGCCAAAAATAACACAAGCAAATTGCCAGATGTTGATAAATGAGTCCTTAACTTTCATTCAGGAGATGGAAATGAACTTTTCAGCTTGATACCTTCATCTGCTGTATACAGAACTAATTTTAATAACAGACTCAACATAGAGTTTCTTTGACAGCAGACCTAGGTATGGAAAGTTCTTGGTACTGCCACGACCTCTGGCTCTTGGAGTTCTCTGACCCTAAGTCAGGTCACAGGAAATGAGAGATGTTGTGCTGCCTAATTACAGCTCCCTGAGCTCCTTTTTCTACCTGTCTTGATATTTCCAGGTCTCTGAAGATGTGTGGTTTTCCAAGTCAAGGTCATAAGCTGCTAATCAGCCCATCCTTGAATCATTACTTATCATACCTGTCCGACATACACAGGCACCTTTGAAGTCTGTTCCTCAGTTGCAAAAAGTGGCTCCCATACCCAGCCACGTTTCACTCTTCGAACTGCTGTGAAAGACTGTTCTGCATTTTGAGTGCTGCAGTTCTGTGTGCCTAGAGAGCAAGGCCAAAGTTGAACCAGCATCAACACGAGAGATAGCAATGTGGAGCAATTCATGCTGAACCCTTCTTTCAATCAATTTTCATCTGTGGAAGAGAAGAACAAAAGAAAAAGCTATGACAAAGCATCACTTTTGTCTTTGCACTTTTACATATTGATTCTATGTTAATATACAAGCTGATTTACAGTGTTAAAACCTCCTTCTCTCCCTAGAAGAACTGAAACATAGTGCGTTTCTGATTAAAATAGAGATCGCTTAGAGACTCTGCCATGAAAGTGAAGTGTTCAACTTTTCTTTATGAATATCCTACACAGGGACTTTCTATGCAAAATAGGAAAATCATCCTTCAATTAATTCATCTTCCAAATTAAGCTGGGTAATTGTATTGTGTAGCCTAAGAATAATTTGATTGGAATAATTGTATGTTTCTGCTTAGACAGGGTTCATTTTGAGCTGCAGTCACAGAACTGCCTGAAGGGTGAACATCTAGCCTCAGTGGCCCTGATGACTGACAGCTGAAACAGAGCAGTGCAGATATTTTTTTTAACCTCTTCTTTCCCTCTTTCCCAGCTTGGCAAAATGCCTGCAAAAATGGTGGTAGGGTTCCGTGAAGAAGCAGCAAGAATGTACAATTTTCTCTTTTCTGGTCAACCACAATTTTCTTAACTGGTTTGACTATCTCTGACATTCTTGTCTTCAATTAAACAGATGAAGGGCAAATGCATCTTGAAAGCTGTAGGTTTCTGCAGCTAGTTTTGTTGGCACGAGGTATTCTTTCAGAAAATGAAGACTTTTCACAAACTGTATGCTGTTATTGACTGTCCAGTGATTTTTAGCGCAGTAAATGAAACTCTGAATTTTAAATAAAGTGTAATGCTCAGTCAAGAATGGCCAACTTCTATGAGGCAAAAGGAAAATTTAAAAAATCCTTACCACATATATTTCAAGTCTTAAAACCTTACTTGGCCTTAGCATTAGCCATTCTTTTAAAGGCTTCAGCCTTGAAGAAAAACATTTTCTATGCAGGCTCAGTCTGGTTTTTGAATTTATCACATGCCAGTCATTTTGTAAAACAGAATGGAAAAAAAACCCCAAACATTTGGCTGCATTTACTTTAGGCCTGAAAAATCCATGAGCCTTTTACCTGTCCAGGATAAAATGTGTATTTTAAGATAATTATTTAAATAATACTGTTATAAGTACCTGTCCTTATGCAAAAGGAAATGCCATAATTGCTTAAAATGATAGACAGGTCATGGAGACAATTATTTTTTTAGTTCCAACAATTTTACGTGGCATTGAACATTATTCTGTTAAAATATAGTCTACGTATATATACTTACTGTGAAAAAGATAAAGGAGTTCTAATAGTAAAGCATATAGAATTGTAGGTGTTAAAGTGTGTGTTCCAATGTCTTAACATTTTCTGTTTTTCGACTGTAAAGCTGTAACAATACAAGACAAGACTTGAATGGAAGGAATTCAAGGAGAGTACTTGGGTACTCTCTCATTTCAGTTTTCTGTGGAAAATTATTTTTTTTCCTAAAGCTGCAAGAATAATGGTTTTGACATGGAATGCAAGGCCAAAGAACTTCAACTTGGCTCTCAAATAAAGCCTGAGTGAGGTTTAAAAGGCCTAAAGGCCGTGGAGAGTCTCTCTGTACAATGGAGGTATTTGACACTAAACAGAAACTAATCATGAAAATTAACAATTATTTTATTGCAGTACATAGCAAAGGACAGAAAACTCAAAAAAAGAAAGCTGAAAGAGACCTTTCTGAGGAATAATAAAGAAATCTATTTCAATTACTATTTAAATGAGGAGACAGGTGATCAGTCTGGGCCATACCAAATACTTCTAGCTACCCATTAGCTGGTGTTTTGGCTGCTCATTCTGATACTACCCACATTTTTCAACAAAGTATTTCAAGCTTATGGGGCAGTATTTTATGCAGAGTAGATGCCAAAGAGGCATTTGTTATCAAACTCATCTGACAGACACCTCACAACATAGTGAAGGTACAGAATATGGCTACGCTGATCTACTGTTGGCCACCTTTTAGCAATGCACTCAGCAGTTAGCCATCAGCAATCAACACCTTAAAGAGCATAATTAATATTTTGGTCCATTTCAGTGTCTCTTCTTTACTAATTTATGTTAATAGCCTATGAAACATGGATTCAAGTACCAAGTCTCAAACAAATTGGGGGGGAATAAGCATTTTTAGATTTTTGACATGTTGCACACTATTATGTGTATAAAATGACTTTAACTTGAAAACACAGACAGCAGGCAAATTACTGTAAAAAATCCATAAAGTTATGTAGTGGAATTGAGAGTTATATGTATTTCTGGTTTTCTCTCCTCTGCCATATCACACATACTCAATTTGCCTTTACTTTCAAGACCATTCAAAGCATATTTTCTTCCAACGTCTTCTTACTCATTTGGCATTGAGACACTGCATCCAGTCTCTGAACAGCACCTATTGTCATTCTTTGCAAAGAATTGTTCCCTTGTTCCCAATTGTTCCCTTGTTAAACAATCACCTTCTTTCTGTTCCAGATTGTAACTCACTTTCAGAAGTAGCTCTTGTCAAATATCCAGAAACTAATTTCTTATTCCCTCCTTTATTTCTAGTCTTTCCTTAACAAATCTAAATTTCAGTGTTACCTACTTAAAGGAAAAAATAAAAAAAGCATTCACAGTGTTTAAGGTGATTCTGTGCTGGGGCTGCTACCTATCACAGTGACTGTTGTCTCATTGTTCCCTTGTACTCCTTCTGCCTTTCCCTATCCATCAGTTGTCTTGTTTTACACTCAATTTGTAAGGTATTTGTAAATGAAATTACCTTGTACTCTGTGTTATAATTATAATATGCATCAAAAGGGAAGATTAGTAAAAGCACAAAGCTTTTAGGTGCTGTGGTAATATTCACAAATAGATAATTTTTAATAGAATAATCTCTTATTAATATATATATATATTCAGATATGAGCAAATGAGCTACCACTAATAATTTCCCAAGGGAACAAGAAAAATTCGGACCATTGTTCTGCTCCTGTCCTATTCTTCAGAAAGTACATCTCCACTCTCTCACTTGCATTGGATTGCAATAATAAAGTCTGATACTGAGAACAGAGTAATGATAATGTCAGTTGTAGTTGTAATAAACAGGCTACAGTTTTTAAAGCAGTATCTTTGGTTTACAGCCAATTGAAATAATGAGTTTCCTGTAGACTAGGAACAGATTTACCTTCTTGACACAAAGCTGCAGAGTCCTTTTTTAGGTTTTTTCTGGAACCATCACCAAGTGACTTCTTGTCACCCTTTGAACCCAGACATTAGTTTTAGGTGCGCTGGAAGTAAGGCTTGGTTCTGAATTCCTTTTGTTTTAATAATAGTAATTTATTTTAAATTATGACCATGTCATTAGATTGCAAATAATACGTTTTACTGCCTAGCAATTGCAAGAATAACAATAGGAAGGACAAGAGGTTTAAAAAATACAGCCTCTGGAATATAGTGAAGATACATATTTGTCGGTGGAAAAAATAAAAGACTAAGCGTGGACAAAACAACAGCCTTCTAAAGCATTTAAAAAACCTCAAACAACAGATTACAGTGTAGGTGAGGATAAATTCTGTTCCAGTTCTTTTAGCTGAGGAATAAGGAAAAAAACCAACTTAATTTTATAACAAAAACACCATAATTTGATATCAGTAAAGCCTTTTAATTAGGAGGTAAAAAAATACTAGAACATGGTAACAAGGGATGTGGTAGATACTCCTTAACTATAGATCATTAAGACCATTTCGTATATGTACTTATCCCACTTAGCAGCAGGATTTTGAAACAGTGACTTCTGAGAAACATAAATTTCTGTCCTTGAAAGTACTGAACAGACAAAAAGTGCCAGACTGAAAGACATTCCTTTTGTGGAATTTGATGTTGTCTTTGTTTGCTTTAATAACATCAAGAAAACAACAACAATGTAGAAAATTTCATGTAAGCCAATCTAATTCATTAATATGCAGCTTCTGAAACATATTTCTATCTCAAGCAGAGGTCTAACTATTTTTTCACTTGCAAGTTCTGTTTTGTGCATTGGTGTTACTATGATTATTGTAAAATTTTTCTCCCTTGTATGTTGCTGTCTTTAATTTTCGATTAATAGGATAAAAAATAAAGGATAATTGTAACTAATGCCTACAGATGTCTGTGTTAGAAAAAGCTTGAATAGATAGAAACGTTTGTAGTTTCAACTGTACATTTGTTAATTCGTACTATATCTACTGGCTGTTTGTCCTAGTTTCATTTTATATGGCTGATTATTGATAATCCCAGTGTATTATAGTGCTGCTGCTCTATTTTCCTTCCAGAGAAAAACTGTATATGGACTCATTTTCATTGACCAGCTTAGGTTTCACACATTATGGTAGACACCTAGGCTATACTACTACTAGAAGAATTCCTGAAGAATTAATATATCAACTACTTTAATTGATACATATGTTTTGTGGTCTTTAAAAAAAAATAAAAACCAAAAAACCTAAAAAACCCAACAAAAAAACCCACTGTATAGAGGAATAAGAAAATCTTCCAGAGTGTGCGAAGTAGTGGATTTAACCCTGTTCTTGCTGCTTCTTACTGTTGCTCAATTTCACATAGAGGTAGATAATATTTTTTACAGATTTGGTATGTTAAAAACTCTTTATTACTATTTTCATTGATTTTTAGCTGTGATTTTATCTTTTGCACTCAGTGCCAAGATTTTTTTTAAGGTAAGTTTTCAATTCTTTATGTATTTTAAGTATTTTATTTGGGAACACTACAAAAAGGCATACTAAACCCCTAAGGAATAAATATGGTATATTTATTTAATCCAGCTATTCTGGATTTGTCCTCTGATTATTCTGTTGATAACCACTATCACAGTTTGGCACAGAAGTACTATTGTTACAGTAATATTTTACTGATAAAAAGCAACAGTGGGAAGAAAGGACTAACATTTCCAATAATTTGCTTTGCTATTTGAACTTCATTTTTTAATGA